TATAGCACATGAGCCATTTTAAGGTACTTTTACAGTGCTTTTGTGTACTTTTTGTAGCTTGACAGCTTGAATTGGCCGAATATTTACAATTTGTGCTCCACAGAAGGAAGAAAAGAGAAGTCATTCAAGTTTGCCAAGACATTAGGGTGAACAAATGATGACAGAATCTTAATTGTGGGGTAAAACTCATGAAAACTACACAATTTTAATTACAATGTTTCATATTTTGATGATGCTGTGAATAACTATTGCTAGGACATCAGTGAAATGTAACCCACATTGACAACAGTACAGAGGTATACTTACACTGATAAATAATGACTAAACACTTTCCATTTTCCACTTTCTGTTGAATACTCTGTGTGCCAAAATTATCTTCATTATAAGGGAGTTTACAATACAAGTTAAAAAAAGGAAAGTCCAATGTGGGCTAGCTAAGCAGCCAGTATAAATCTGTTGGTTAGAAACATAGGTTTCTGGAGATGAAAGCAGCAAGGCACACTACTGCCCACGCATCTCTTATCAGCCAATCAACAGATTACAGCATCTCAATGTTATTCTGAAAAAGACCTTTGGCTGAAAGTGCTGTGGTTTTTTTTTTGGACCCACAACTTGCACTGATACTGTAGCACCGGAAAACAAAGCCTTTTTTGGAACTTCCTCTGACTCATTACCAAGACACTCCAGTGATGTTTATTGAGCAACAATGAGGAGAATTTCAAATGGACTGTGTAGTGTCCATCACATGGAGACACAATGGCTAGCACTGACTGCCACAAATTCAAACAGAAATCCGGATCATTTAAAATGAGCATGTTATTGCACATTGCAATTAGATTTATTTATCTCTGCATATAATTTCCTGACTGTTTTTTTACAGCCAGGACCCTGAAACTTTCACATCAAACAAGCCATTGCCATGAGTGCAAAATCTACATCCTGTGAGAGAAATAATTTTAGTTAAAGCAGTCATGTGAAACACACCAGGCATTTCCCACCAGCTCCTTCAGCAAACCCACAACATGTGACTCACCATACACTCCACGGTCCAAGAGCTGCAAGAACTTGTCGATGGCAGCCTGCATTTCCTGAAGGGTGAGATCAAGCAGAGAGACAACTCTGAAGCCTAGCTGTTGCAGAAGATTGGCCAGCTCATGAACATCCATGGTGGGGGCCATCAGACCAGGATGGTTGTTGTAGTTCAGGTTCCCAATCAGTAATGCCACTTTGTCGGTTGCTAAGGGAAAGAATTTGTTTTGCTTTGTTAAATTTGTTCATAAAAGTATTTTTTTAAATCATATTTTATTACATTTTATTTTATTGCATTTTTTAAATATACACGTTATAGTGATTACATGGGTAATTTGCAAACAGACTTTGTAAAGAAACACATAAAGTGCTATTTTTATGCATAATTTTAAATGCATTGTTAATTAATACTTCAATATTTTTTTTTCTTTTACTTAAAAAAA